TTACCAAGGCCCATGATTTGTTTTACATGAAACATTGTGCTTTCACTTTTCATTATTCACAAAATATTGGTTGACATCTTTTATGGAGTACCAGATAATATTGTACAGAATAACACAAAATATAACCTTTTTTGTCCTTAATCTTGTACATTGTTGTACAATTTAGCAATCAAAGAAGTCCTGAGAGTATTACAAAATCATAAGTAGATTTTACTCCAAATGAGCAGACAAAATTCATTGGCCTCGCATGATAAATGTGGTAAATGGTCTGTTTCTATACAAGCATACTCCTACTGAGAAAGAGTTTCAGACGATTCATTCAGGCGTTATACAGAAGCTAACTAGTCCCACCAAAACTACGTTCTTTTAGGATGGTTTACAACATGATTAATACTACACATGGTTGGCTGGGAGGATTCGGTAGCACTAAACAATATTAAAGAAGAAAACAAGTTAAGATCTTGTTAATTCTATTGTGCAATATTATGTACCAAACATGCGCTATAATGTATTCAAAATGATTACAGATGTTATTTTTTAATTAGAGAGATTACAGAAATATCAATAATATCAGAAGCCTTCTGTTCATTCAACGGGACCTTAATTTATTGGATGACAGTGACCTTAGTCTTTAGTTTAATATAAATTTTGGAAATCTAGAGCCCGTAAAAGAGGGACACAAGTTCTGATATATAGACAAAAGAAAGGATTATAAAATAAGAGAACTATCCAGGAATTTACTTAATCAGGTCTATGCCCAAGTGACATGACACTTGAATTAAAGATTCCATTTATTGAAAAAAAAAAAAATCACCTGCAAAACATTTGTAAGCATCCATGTATATCAGAGCATACAATGCAGAGAACACCATGCAACTTGCATGGACACCCTATAATTTATTAAGCCCCCAATTTTGGTGTGGCTAAAATCAGATTTTAGTAGATTTTGATAGAAGGTTGATGAAATGTATAGTTGAAAAATTGTGGATCTCGTGAATGTACGGTTAAAATTACTTGTTGACTTTGACTTGGATTTTTAACTAAATTTTAATCCGGTTATGGCATGCTGAAGAATTTTTCTTGAAGAATGGAACATTTTTAATACATTTGAAAAATACCTCATAAGGAATTATTTTTTCTAGAAATCTCTGGGATGAAGTATCACAATGCTTTTCCTCCCACTAACAGGTATAAACCCCACAAGGGCCTTCACAGCTGATTAAAAAGTTATGCATGTAATAGATCATATAATTAAAATACTTGGGGAATGTTCGATCAAGTGACTCAACATCATTAGACACTACTAGGAACAACTACAACTGTGAAGACCTTGCAACATTTAATTTTTGCTATTTTTTAATTTCTTAAAAATGACATTAGCAACAAATT